CACATCACATCACATCGCATCGCATCGCATCGCATCGCATCACATCACATCACATCACATCACAAAAGCATGATCAATGATAACATATTCCATGAACATGCTTCAATCCCACTGACTTGCCCTTAGTTGCGTTGCATGCTTAAACAATGCACATCGGCATAACATTATAAAATTATTGTGTATGCAGTATAGTGTAAGCTAGTGTCACAGAGTAAAGATCAGTAACAGAAGGGCCACTCAGCGGTGCAACATGTCCTCGTTTTTTTATGCAAAAATATGCAGTTTACTGGCCAGAAGGCGGAGCAGCCAGCCAGTACAGCTTGTTTATTGGCCAGAAAATGTCATTGACTGGCTAGGAAAATGGCGGCCAACATGCGTAATGCGACATGCGCGAGGACAAAAACTTCAAAGCTTCCGACGTAAGTGGCCCTTCTATATGGATCTTTATTCTATGCTAGTGTACTACGCTTTTTGGCAGGCAAAAGTACATTTAATTAACCCATGAAATAGCATGCAAACGCTTTCATAGTTCTTTTAAAATGTCATTATTGCCATACTATAGTTATAGTTGACAGTGGCCGAACTGTTGTTGTCTACGTGCATGTCAATTACATTACAGTCAAATCATATTCAAACAAAAAGTAAACAGACGAAACGTACGATCAATCAAGATGAAATTGATTCGCTTTTAACGCTTGAAATGAACGCTTTCAGTGGGGCAATTACAATGTAGATTTTACTGCTAAAACTAAGTGCTAAATGAGATAAGACAAGAGAAACAAGATAAGGAGAAGAACACAAAGACAGAATATCGCTTTCCAAGCGCGTTATAAATTGTTTGTAATAAGCAAATTCAGTACGTATGTATATTTAACACCAGCCAGAAATCAACAGACCATAAAATGAATACAAAATACGGCCAAAACAACTGCATCGTTACCGGATTATATCATAAACTGACTAATGAGATTCCCCGTATTTATAGCATCATGCATGCAAAGCATTCTGGTCAGTTAACAGCAATGCATTCTGGTCGTTTAACGGCAGTGCATTCTGGTCGGAGAAACGGAATTAAAATCTTACTTTCAGAGCCCAATACGAATTAGAACTGCTGACTTACTCGCTCCCTTCAGGCTCGCTCACTGCATCAGCAATTATAGCTGAAGTTAAATACCGTTGAAACATAATATATTCTTTAGGCAGTTTCCTGTATCACTGGAACTGTATTGTTGCTATCACTATCGTTGTTTTCATTTTTCCGGTTTAACGGTTATTACAATATACGTATAGGAGAGTGAGATACTTGCCATAAAACATTTTGTCATCATGTACATATGTTCAAAAATTTATTTATTATTAAGTATATTATATTATGAAATATTATATTGTTATTAAAACTTTTGTCATGCCGAAAAATTATAAAATGAAACATATTTCGAATAGATGTATAGGGCTAAAAGGTCATACGCTGCTATTTCGACTTAAAAACAGATTTATTGTGAACGACCTCTGCCTAACTGATAAATAAACAATTAAACAGCGTGAAACATCTCTCTCCTCCACAGAGGTTTACACGAATTTTCAAGTGAGGGAAAAGTGAGCGCGCAAGGAGTGATGGAAAGTGCGAAATAAAGGGAGCCTCTGCTAGTTGGTGGAATCAACATGGTGTGGTATATAATTTCGATATCAACCCTCGCTGGTGTCAAAACGTGTTTTCTACTTTCCATTTCAGGCGTACTTGAGTCTTCAGGAGTGAATCCAATATCAATATCATCTTCTGTCCAATTGTAGCGAAAATGGATAAGAATGGATATGAGCTATCTAGCTAATTATAAATATATGCTCTAAATTGTAACATATCTTTATAAAAATGAATCTACTGACCTTAACATTTCTTTATAAAAATGAATCTACTGACCTTCGATATACTCAGATTATGAAGATTTATTTTAATTTCTTCCACATTTCCGTCCATTACAATTTTAAAAAATGTTAAACAAAGTTTGGTTCAAAAACCATACCTTTTAGCATTATTTGGCACAATCTTCTTTGCTTTATTTTAGTCATCCCATCACTCCACGCGCGCTCAATTTTATTCAAGAAACTTCATGTAAGTTATATATATTTGTAAATACTTAAGAAGGCTCTGCGGGGGAGAGAGGTACAACATTAGTTCTTGCTTCTGTTTTGCAACGAAACACAAGAAACATCGATCGATACTCGGGCGATAGATACTTAATTCCATTTAAACAATGGAGATTCCACTCGGGCCGTCAAAATATTTCCCAACGCTGAGTTAAAGATGTCCCACACTCTCTCGGAAGAATTTCAATACTGCACATATGGCTATAACTATAACTATTATTGCAAGTTTGTGGGGAGTACAGACATTCTGTCTGTAGGAATTGAAAGGTTTTGTCGCCCTTTCTATGAACAAAGAAAATTAAAAACAAAATACTTCAGCCGTTAATTATAAAAATTACTTAAGCTTTTTACGACGTAAGTAGCCTACAAAAGCTATCGGAAACTTTAGCCTGTACATATTGTCAGTTCTAAACTCTTCTCCCTAAAGGTCAAGTAACGACTACCTTTCATTGGTCGAATGTGTTACCAGCTACAGCTGGAAACTTTAACTAAACCAACTTTATAAACCAACAGCGCATGCTTGCTGCATAACTAGTTTCTGCATATAACGTGGTGAAAAGGATCAACAATATACAGCCAATTCAAAAAGGTTGCCCTTTGAAGAACCTTAAACTCTAAACTTAAAACCTTAAACTCTAAGCACGTAAGAACCGATGTATAATTTACGAACTCCAGTTCCGCGGACTTCCCAGGTTTTGACCATTTTTACGGCAGATAGCCTGACTCAATGACAAATATAAAAAAACCGCCTAACCGCCAAACTATAATAAACCACCATAAAACTGGAGAACAAATTTTAATCATCATGTACAAAGCTTACTAAATACACGTTTACATTAACATCACGTCTAGTATTACACAACAATATTTCAGACAAAGCTTCAAGTATTAAGCAGACATAAAATCATTACTCGAACCAGATCGCATAAAACCTCTCGCCGAGTACTGAGTTCTCGGTTGCGCAGTTGGTTATAGCGCGCTTATCTAGAAACTAAGAGATTGCGGGTTCGATGCCCGCTCGTGTACTCAGAAGTATTTTCTGAGCGATAAAGCTGGAGAACATATATATGTATATATATATATATATATATATATATGTATATATATATATATATATATATATATATATATATATATATATATATATATATATATATATATATAAATATATATATATATATATATATATATAAATATATATATATAAATATATATATATAAATATATAAATATATATAAATATAATATATATATAAATATAATATATATATGCTTCTATACATTATCAGCTTTAAATCGATTTCCAACAGACCTCTTCAAAAATTAAGTATAAAATAAAACCGAATACATGCATATTGAAAATCTAAAATAAGTCCTTATAAATTGTAAGGGGTAGAAAAAAGTGATATGGTGTTATCTCGTCATTGTTTTGTTATCTCGACCTTTTAAAACGCTTTTAATTTGAATGTCCTCTGACTAACACTAATATAATGAAATTAACAATTATATTAATTCTCATCGGCCGCTTTTCTAAAATTAGCCATTTTTTCCCTCTGATTCGTTTTAAAGAGAGGTCAACTGATTGCGATAACCTTAGCTTTTCTTGTAACTGTTCTGAGTCAGACTTGTTACTGCGAGCGCCCCCTTGCCGTGACTTCTTGCAGTTGTAAGCCTGGTTTGCACGGCCAATGTATAACAGTTTATATACCAGCTGTAAACCACATATAATCATACGTATTTTCTATAATCATTCCGCCCATTTTTAGTTAGAAAATGTTGTATTTCGGCTGATGAGAAAAATCGTGACACAATCTTTACGACCGTTACGACCATATGGAAAGCTGGCTTAATGTAAACAGCGGAAATTTTGTAAACATATATTCCGGGTACTGTACCTCGTTTAACTTTGCTCAATGGCTCCTAAACTGTGTCAACTGAAGTCAAAATAACGTTGTAACAAACCAAATAATTCTTTAAAGAACTTTCATTGCCATGAAGGTTCAAAAAGATTTCTCCTTTTAACATTTCGTGATTACAAACTGTCTACGGTTGCTAGAATTTATTGGTCTAACGATTTTGGCAGTTTACATAATATTATACTTGAGTAGGGCACTTATTATGATTGGCACGAATGAAGTGCATGGGACAACGAACTCTATGCCACTTAATATTTTAGATGATTTCTTTGTCTGAACGAAACGGTGCAATCAACGTGTCGTCATGTGACATCATTTAGATGTATTGGATATTAATGAAGGTTTTTAAATCTTCGTTAATGTCGAACAGAAATTGGCAGTGATTTGGCCTCCTGTTACATGATTGACGCAGTTTAATTCTTTGTTATTCATCAAGCTCTAATTATATTTATTATTTATTCAAAAAATTCTTGGTTTCTGATTGGCTGACAGCCAAATGTGAAATTGTCATATCAACTCAATGGCTAACCAAATATGGATTTTTCACATTCATATTAGCAAAATGACGTCAAAGAGTCAATATGAAAAAAATTTGGACGCGTTTGTGCCATATTACTATAACGGAGAGAATCATATTGACTCGCTGACGCCATTGATAGGACGACGAACGACGGCTGCCGAAGGACTAAGGAATTGTTTTTTTCTTAATACAAATAAAATACAAATGGCTTCTTCCACTGAAAGGTTCGCCAACCTTGGCGAAGCCGAAATTCAAAAATTACTGCATGGAAGATAAAGATTCGTTAAATACAAAAAGATCAACAAAAGCCTCTCGAATTGGTAAAAACATTTTTCCTAATTCTTGGTAATGGATGACCGTCAGTTGTTTTGAATTTTTAAAATAAATAATAAAACAATTATTGAATTCGGTTTTCGCACAATATAAAGAATTATCAAGCCCTCAGTTTGCCGTTATCAACCTCTGCCTTCGGCTTCGGTTGATAACGGCAAACTTCGGGCTTGATAATTCTTCATATCGTGCTCAACCTCATTCAATAATTGTTAAATAACATAAATACTTCATACGTTCTGAAAGCTCTGGGAGGGATTTGACATTTAGCAGGGAGAAGCGGGCTTGATGAATCGAATTGAATTAGTAACTCAAGGGTTGTATTTAAATACATCGCCCAAGCTGGGCTGTCCTAGATTCGACTCTGCTAGGAGGGATGTATATAAATACAACCCTGCATGCACGTGCAATGTAGAATTCTTCGCCAAATCAAATATCTTATAATTTGAAACGGCTTTTCTGTAAAGCTTAGGCCTACTTGCATGTTTAATGTTAATGCCATTTATATACGTCATTGGTTGCACTAAAAACATTTCACACGTCATAACTAATAAATTGGTATGGAGATAGCGTAGCCAGGTTTAGACATAATTACTCGCTGGGGCACCCTGTGCCCCAGACGAGTATAGGTTTCGGCTTGCATTTTTCACGGGTCATGGATAGTGGATCGTCGATAGCCACAAAAGAGAATATTAATGAGCAGCCTAATTTCCCCCCAATTATCCATTAGGCTCCTGCCAATTTTACGCAAATTATCCATGAATAACCCTGCATTTTGAGGAAAATTCGGGAAAATTGAACAATTTTACAAGGAATTTCGACATGGAAACAGCAACCTTCGCAAATTGCAAGTTACGTTTGGCTGCGCTGCTTTATATTTTGAGAAGAAAACGACACCGTTCGATTCTGTGTAAGAAATTGTACTTACGGATGTCAAGTGTATCACTAAACACCAGTATTCTGGCGATTTATGGCCTTTGAAAATCAAGCGTAATGGTATTGTTGACAAATCACTCCCACTACGTTTGTCCTTGTATTTGTATTAAATACCTAATGGCGCAATAAGTATAAAAATACCACCGTTCGATTCAGCGTAAGAAATTGTACTCACGATTTTCAAATGTATTACAAATGTATTACTATAAAGCGCCAGTATTCTAGCGATTTATCGCCTTTGAAAATCAGACGAAATTGTATTATTGACAAATCGCTAGCAGTACGTTTCATAGTGTATTTGTATTGCCTATTAAATGGCGCAATTTGGATAAAAATACCACCGTTCGATTCAGCGTTAGAAATTGTAATAAATACGGATATCAAATGTACAGTATTCACTAAACAACAGTATTCTGGCGATTTATGGCCTTTGTCTTTGAAAACCAAGCGAAATTGTATTGTTGACAAATCGCTCAAAATTATTAAACTACTTATGAAAAATATTTAAAAATGCAGTACGTTTAATCCTTGATAACTTTGGTATCATTGGCCGGTTTTCTCTTTTTCGGCCGTATACCAGTGGATTCGTCTCACTTCTCTCTTCATGTTGATAGTATTTTGAGCCCAAAAGCCTCCAAATATTTTATTTTGAACGTTTTAAAGCGCAGTTTATTAAATCCTAGCGTACGGACCCATTGGCGGCTGACAGTCTTGAAGAAATAGAATGTAGCGTACTAAATATAACTTTACTTGTAGGGCCTACCGCATTAGTACTGTGTCTGTGTTAAGCCTTTCGCGCCGGTATTCGACTTTTCCGCTTAGCTCGGGGAAAACCTTAAATATTAATTCTTAGTTGAAATAACTGTGTACTGTTTGTATCATGTACAGTAATATGCGTATATGTGTAGCCCTAGATGCGGGTTCAAGTCCGTCTCTCAAGGGGTTGAAAATAGCGATGCATGCGAGCGGTCAAAAAAGGTGCGGAAATATGAGAGAAAAGTAGGGAGAGACGGACTTGGACACCCTGCAAGCGCGCCAAATATTACCGTCGGATTTTCCTACGGAGGCGTGGCTTGCGAGTTGAGAACAACAACAAATTTTCGCGCCAATTTTTGCAAGTAACATTCGAAATGCTGCAAATGTCCCAAGTCCGTCTCTCCCTACTTTTCTCCTAAGACGGACTTCAACCAAGTCTAGTATAGCCCCAGCGAGTTAACGCTCCGTAGAGCGTCTTGTTAAAGTAAAAACAAACGTTCTCTGACTAAGATTTTTATTTAAACGAGCTTTTGACTACCTAACTGTTACTAGTCTTCGATGGGTCAAAGCGAAATGAATTACAAGCGTGCATGTGTTAGGTGATATATATAACAGGAAGTGATTAATATAATAATTTAATTGTAGCGTCTGGCGATGACATTTTTTATTATTATTATTTATTTATTTATTAACTTTACAACCATACAAAATTATAACAATGATTGAAGGTATGGTCAACAGGACACGAGTCCCATGTGAAGAACAGCCTGATACAAAACAATAAGTAGACATACATTAAAGACAAGGACTAGAACACTATTTACATAACTATATAAAAATTAATAGCTTAGATTATGAGCAACATCTTAAGTTTAAAGACCGGCATTTAGAGCAGTATAGGTTTTTCAAGTGCGCATTCTGTTAACATCGAAAGAAGAGTCTAATTGAGAAGAGTAGTGAGAATGCTGCTGGAGCTTAAAGGATGAAACAGACGAACTGTTACGAATGATCGGAGAGAGATTGTTCCATAGAAAGACAATTCGGTTAAAAAAAAAAGTTTCTATATATTTATTGTCAGAATTTGTTATTATAGCAGTATGCCAAGTTTCTAATGTTTTACGTGACCGATAGTTGCCACTTTCAATTACGTTCCCATTCTCAAAGTCAATTGTGTTGTCCATATTCCATGCATGTTTAGCTACGCATTTGAGCCTTTTTTATAGTTTTTTTCTACATTTCGAATATGCTCCTTCTTTCGAGTTCCAAATGATCTTCCAGTTTCGCCAACATATGACCACGAGCAGTCAGAGCAAGGTATATTATTGTATACGACGTTGATACGTAGTTCAGGTGAAACTTGATGTTTATGGGGAGGAAAGATTCTGTGTAATGTTTTTAAAGGTTTAGTCGTTGCCCTAATGTTCTGTTTTTGTAATATACGTCGGAGTGCATCAGTTATTCCACTAATATACGGGAAAGTCACATGTCCATATGGTTTGTCATCTTGAGTAACGCGTTTGAAAAATTGTCCCACAAGTTCCTCAGGTGATGGTTCACGTTTGTTGACT